GGGCTTTTAGCTCAGGCATAGGCAAACTCCGGCCCTCCAGATGTTTGGGACTACAATTCCCATCATCCCTGGCCACTGGTCCTGTTAGCTAGGGATGATGGGAATTGTAGTCCCAAACATTTGGAGGTCCGGAGTTTGCCTATGCCTGTTTTAGCTCTACTAGTTTCTAGAGGCTCAGATGACTATGATGGTGCAAGGAGCCTTCCTTCAACATAGGTTTGTGGCCCAGCTCGCCTAACTCCTGTTGTCTATGCTGCAGTAATCTGTAGGTTATATTACTGCAATGTGTTATACGTTGGGCTGCCATTGCAGATGGTTTGGAAACCGCTGTTGGTGCAAAATTCAGTGGCCAGATTATTGTTGACCAGAGTAGAATGATCTGAACACATAACACTGATTCTGGCACAGCTGTATTTGCTACCAATTAGTTTCCAAGCATAATTCAAAGTTCTGACTTTGACCTATAGAGCCTTATGGAGCAGAGGACCCCAAGTGGGTTCATATTTTGGTATTGGAACAAATCCAGTGCACAGTCTGTGGTGATCACACAGGGTCCCTGGACGTTTGACAGTCTATTGACCCTGTGCCACTACTGCGATTGCTTTCTTCGCTGCCACCAACCCGTCCAGACAGATGTCAACATTAACAAATAATCAAGTTTATTTATAGGCATGAACAAGCTTATGGTTTCAGTTAAATTTTCTTGGCGGTTTCTTAATCTTAGTTCCTTAACTGTCCTATGCGTTCCTAACAACTTCAAACTGATTATTCCAACTATCTATCTGACTCCACCTAACGATTCCTCTCACTCACTCACAACACAACTCGACCAACCCACAGACTTAACCTCCTTCTTCCTTCTCCAACTACCCACTATCAACTGACTTCCACACAGCTCCGACTCTCACTCTAACGCCTCCTATCAGTTTCTCTCTGGCCAATCACATCACACTCATTTAACCCTTTCCTTATGACCCACCTAGGAGGAGAACGCCACACAGCCTTAGACATGTTTCAGCAGAAAGTGACAATTAAACTTTTTTCCTGGGCTGTACCACTTCAAGGTGCAGGTGGAAGCCTACGTGTTTCATTGCTATTCCAATAAACAGTTCTATACATATTGAGCCCTTCCCCCCCAATCAAGCGATAGATTCTGCTGCCTTTCTAAAACTGGCCCTTGTACAATGGCTCTAATGTGGAATTGTGAATCAAGTTACCTCTCATTATATCAGTTTCCATTATGGCCTTCAAATGGCAACTCCTTCAAGTTAACTCTATTTTCACCTGTTATGGAGAAACTCCAAAAGAGGATGCAAAGGAAAGGATGAATCATGTCCTTTGTGTGCTTCCTTAAAGGCCTGAATTTACAAAGCATCCAAGAGGCTTTCAGCATCAGCAGTTTTTCTTTGTGGCTGTCTATGATTTTTGTCATCATAGCAGAATTATTGCTGCAGCAGTTGTTAACCAGTGCACGAATGTGTGTTTTTTTGCTAAGCACTGCTGCAGCTGGAAAACTAACAGGTTTGGAACTCTTCACTGTGTTGGGAACATTCTACTGTATTTTACTAGACAAAGAGAGATGAGTAGGAATATTTTGCTTGCTGCCTGCCCAACCACACAGGTAATGGTGCGCACATCATTTGGTTTTCCTGAAGCACATCAATTGGTTCTCCTTGTTTGATTGCGATGGTACACTGAGGTCATAAAGCATATGAACGTTTCAAGGTTTGCATTGGTGTTTGAGTATCTCATGTTAATGTAGGGGTGGGAAACATCTGTCCCTCACTCCAACCCCAGTTACTGTTGGATTTCAACACCCACCAGTCTCAGCAAGCACAGCCAATGGCCAAGGATTTATTAACTGGCTCATGTTTATAAAGGGCATTATATAATAATAGTAACACCTCGAACTGAAACCAATAGCAAATCTGCAGATCTCTGAGCAGTGCCGGATTTACGTATACGGTAAGCTAAACAAGCTATAGCTTAGGACCTCACTCTCTTGGGGGGGGGGGGGCCAAAAAAATTAAAGGAAAAAAACCTGGATGTACATCTCCAAAATATAAGATAAAAAACAAATAAAATAAAACCTACATACAGCAACAGTGTTTTGTGTTGTGTAGGCTCCTATGACGTAAGTAATGGGCCCCGCCTGCTAGCCTGCTCCCTAAAAGATCACTGGTTTGCTCATTTCTATATATAGGGTGCCTACATTCTACATGTGCAAATGGCTTTAGATACCTATTAGGTCCATAAATTACCATCTAGCATATATTCAACACAAAAAACAGTGACAATTTGTTGTTGACAAAGGACAGTTGGACATATAAAGGGCCCCATTACCTTCAGTAGCTTAGGGCCTCATCAAACCTAAATCAGGCCTTGTCTCTGAGTACAGGTGTGAGATGGAAACAAGGTCTCACTTCTGTCGGCAATAGTGCTGCAACATTCTGCACTACCTGCAGTTTCTGGATCAAGTGCAAGTGCAGCCCCATGTAAGAACGGCATTGTAATAATCTGCTATTGAAATAACCAATGTATTAACTACTGTGGCCAAGCCCAGTAGAAGCTTTAGGCAAAACACTAGACTGGATCTACCATGTTGGTGTTTCTGATGGGAAACACAGATGCTGGTTTACAAAGCATGTACGCCTTCACGTGTTGCGGTGGGGGCCGACAAGACACTCCAAAGTTGTGGGACAGGCTAATTGATCATTGGCCACTGTTGTGATTGGGCTTCCCTTGTTGTTGGGAAGAAGTTAATGTTGCCATTCTGTGATTGACAGCCAGAAATGTTAAAACTCCCTGCACAAAGCGTAGAGCTTCCTCTTTTCGCTCTGTGCATTAGATTGCCCCTTCCCCCTCCCTATATTTAGGGTTGTTCGCGTTGACCTTGCTATGCCTGTCATGGGGTCGTCTGCTCTTGGGGCAGGGGCCCGGTAGGAATTTTGTCCATCTGGCTGATTGGCTGGGGCCATTTGGTTTTTGCCTACTGCGTAGCAAATCGTCACTACTTGTAAGGTTGTGGTTAGGCATTGGTTTAGGGTTTGGTTGGTTGAGGGGCATGGATTGGCTGTGCTTGCCCCTCTAATGCGGCTGCTGCAAGGGATTCCATTAAAGGAATACAGGGGCTCACCATTGCTTTTGTCCGAAAACTGTCAAGGGGCTAGGGCCACACAAGAGCCCCTGGTTGCATTTGGGGAGGGCTGAGGGCAGGTTCCCTGCTCCGTTGCTATCCACAGAATTTGTTCCCCTTTTCTTACTTTCGCAGGCTTGCAAAATGTCAGTCTGTCCCCACTGGGGTCATATAGTTGCAACCAATGCCTAAGCAACCACTCATATTTTTGTATTTTAATAAAGTTGTGGCCAACATTATGCCAAAAACCTTAAACAAAAATTCCGTGTGATGTGTGAGTTATTTGGGGTGGCCTGGGGACCTCGACATGCAAAAGGGAAGAATTAGATCAGGAGATCAGGGCTGTGGGCACTTCTCCTGAATCTTTTTCTTCCATGCCTTCTCCCCAATATGACTTGCATCCCCCAGAGCTATAATCTGCCCTGTCAAAGATGCTCACAGATGAAGTTGGTTTTTAATTGAGTCAACCCATCGACACATCTGGCTCAGTCTCCATATTGTACCTGCATATTTTCCGAAGCTTGGTAAACAGCAGCATTGGGGACAGGTGTGATTTGGATTTCAGTTGGGAAAATAGCTTGGGGGATATCATTAACCCACATCTTCCGCAAGCAAAATGGTTCTCATCAGAGTATTACCTCCCCTCAGTTGCTGCAACCCATGGGACTTATTGTTTGTAGATCCTCTGCCTGGTTGTTTTAAAATAAAGCAGATGAAAGTTTCAAATTAATGAATATGTGAAAATACATTAAGTTCACTTTTAAAACTAAATAATGGATGTAGCAAATTTCCTAGGCCCTGCAGGTAAAGAAACTAAATATCAAGTTGTGATAAATAGGCAAGTATTAGTAAAAGCTGCAAACTAAGAAACATTATAAGTTTGCAACGCTGCATGGCAAATTATATATTATCCCCCCATGGTGCCTGATTAAGAAGCCGAGATTTCTCACACTGTTGAGAAATTTATTTTGTTCTTATACACCCATCATATTCTTCCTTCCCATTATAGCAATTAGCAGTAATTATCTAATTACATTCCATAAAAGTCTTGCAAAGATGAGAACCTGGTTGCTTGGGACTCATCAGCTCTTTATACATGTTCATTGTGCTTTTTATTTCTGACCACAGGGGGAGGGGGGAAGGAAATAGAAAAGACTTTTTTTTTTAAAAAAAAGAATGTTGTACATTATTTCCTATATTCTACGATATTGGAGAAGGAAGTCTTTTGTTAAAATATATACATTAGCACTTTGTTGTTACAAACCGGTGGCAGCATAATATCAAGTCACTTACCTGTTGCATCCTAACCATTTATCTGTTAAGTAAAGAATGATTACCTTTGCAAAATGTGCCCATTTTAGCATTACCTGCTACCCACAAGGCATGTTTATATACCTCAAATATAAGACAGCAAGGTGAATGAAAATACAGTGGACACTCGGGTTGCGAACGTGATCTGTGCAGGATGCATGTTCATAACCCGCAGTGTCTACAACCCGCAGCAGCGCATCTGCGCACCCGTGGGTTGTGATTCGGTGCTTCTGCGCATACACGACCGCTGAAACCCAGAAGTAACCCGTTCCAGTACTTCCGGGTTTCGGTGGTCCATAACTCGAAAAAATGCAACCTGAAGTGTCTGTAACCCGAGGTATGACTGTATTGGTAAGACCTGACTGAGTTCCATTCACTGAAGATAACCACACTAGACAAAATACAGTGGAAACTCGACTTACATACGACTCTACTTACATATGATTCCAGTTACGACCTTCAGTGGGTGCTTTGACTTATGAACTCTCCTCTAGATACGAACGGAGGCCTTGCCAGCAGCCTGGAGCTCACCTGGCTGGCTGCAGAGCAGCACTGGGGCCTCCGCCGCCGGGGAGAGGGCCCCCATCCCACCCCCGAAACCGGGGAATTGGTGCCACCTGTAAGCCCCAAACCCCACCAAGGAACTAACCTGAGGAAGTCCAGAGAAGATCCTGGCCTGGCAAGAAAACAAAGTGACCCTGGCCAAAGTTAATCAGCTCTTTACTGACCCTTGCCCCCACCCCCAGCTTGTAGCCAGGTACACCCACCCTCAGCACAGGTAAGGAAAAAAAATGTCAATTTTTTTCATCTACAATACTGTCTTATTTATTTTATAATACAGTACATTGATTATTGCCTTCATTTTATGGATCTATGGTCTCGTTAGACAGTAAAATCTGTGTTAAATTGCTGTTTTAGGGAGTGTTTTTCATCGTCTAGAACGGATCAGTTCACTTTTCCATTACTTTCTATGGAAAAGTGCGCCTCTACTTATGTACATTTCTAGTTATGACCGGACCTCTGGAATGGATTATGGTTGTAAGTAGAGGTTCCACTGTATAGCAAGCTGTGGGTTGGTGGTGGTCTGTTACATGCACACTGGATTCAGCACTATTTTTTATGTTTAGAGAAACATCATCTGTAAGGGATGATTCAGAAGTTTACAATTCCTTGAAGGAGAGGTACTTGAAAATGATGCACAGATGGTATTTAACTCCGAGTAGGCTTGCTAAGACGCGAGTGGCGCTGTGGGTTAAACCACAGAGCCTAGGACTTGCCAATCAGAAGGTCGGTGGTTCGAATCCCCACGACGGGGTGAGCTCCCGTTGCTCGGTCCCTGCTCCTGCCAACCTAGCAGTTCGAAAGCACGTCAAAGTGCAAGTAGATAAATAGGTACCGCTCCGGCGGGAAGGTAAACGGCATTTCCGTGCGCTGCTCTGGTTCGCCAGAAGCGGCTTAGTCATGCTGGCCACATGACCCAGAAGCTGCATGCCGGCTCCTTCGGCCAATAAAGCGAGATGAGCGCCGCAACCCCAGAGTCGGTCACGACTGGACCTAATGGTCAAGGGTCCCTTTACCTTCACCTTTAGGCTTGCTAAGATGTATAAGACTGAATCAGGTAAGTGCTGGAGAGGTTGAGGGTACATTCTTTCACATGTGGTGAACCTGTAAAAGGGTAAAAGTGTATTGGGAAATAATTTATAATGAATTGGAAAAAAATGGTTAAAAGCACTTTTACAAAAAAACAGAGTCCTTTTCATTGGGGATAATTCAGAGGGAAATCCCCAGGTGTCAAAAATGTTTTTTTATGTATGCCACTACTGCAGCCCATGTTTTGTTAGTCCCAAAATGGAAAACGAGCAAAGTCCCAACTAAAGAAGAATGGCAACTTAAACTGATGGAATATGTGCAGCTTGCAGACGTAACATAAAGAATAAGAGATGTTTGAAGAAGACTGGAAAATGTTTACTGAATATATGGAGGAAAATTGTGTATATTGTGGCAGCATTAAGATAAATTCAACAGTGTAAAGGTTTTGGTGGATGTAATAATGGAATGCTGAAGGGTTTAGTTTATATAAAATACGCAGGGATTAACATTATGCAAATGAACCATGGAAAGAGAAGAAGGGAAGTCATTGATATTTTAAGGTTGTTTAAATGAATATTCTAAATTGTAAAACAGAAAATTATCTATCTATCTATCATCTCTCTCTCTCTCTCTCTCTCTCCAATGCAGAAGCAGCAGGAAATGCTTAACCCTTTCATCGCCTGCTTTTTCTCTGCTTCAAAACTCTCAATGCAAGCAACTATTTCCTGTCCAGGATATCAGCTTTGCATTTGCTGTTTAGAAATATACACTTGGAAGCCTGAATGGTGAGGGGAAAGCAGGTGAGGAAAGGATTAGGTGTGCCATCTTCCTCCATTACTTCTCAGTTCTCAATTGCCCCACTTCCTACACTGCTTAAAATTATTATTATTATTATTATTATTATTATTATTATTATTATTTTGTGAATACCATGGAGTTAACGTCTTTCTTGGAAGATAGGATACAGTCCTTCCTGAACTATGGAGAATGGTTAGGGGATGATGGAAACTGTAGTTCAAAAAACCTAAATTGTGCCAGGTTGGGGGAATGCCATCACCTTCATGCAGGTAATCTAGACACACAAGTGGGGATTGTGATCTCTGATTCCACTCCTGCAAGAAATACTGCAATCCAGCTTTGAGAAAACTTGATTTTCTTTCTTGAAATGCAAGTTGTATGAAGCACTCCCCACCCACCCCCAATCCCTGTGTGGTTGTGAAACATTATATAACTAATCTGCCCATAATGAAAGCAGCCAGCAGTGGTTAGATGAAAACAACAGAGATATTGTTTGATATATCTCATTATCCAATACTCCTGTTCCAGTAGAACTGCAGGGGCAGTCATGTCAGTTTCATAATTAGCTGAAGGACATAAATTGTGCTCACTGTCACACCATCGAACGACTGTATTTTGATAATATATGGTAATGCAACTGTTTAATGAGAGCATTGTCAATATAATAATAATGGCTCCAGCTGTCATTGCTGTAGGGTGAGCACTCTGCAAGGGGTGGAAGAAGTCTAATGATAGGACAGTGCTAAAGGGGAGATTAGATTAATAAAAGATCAATAGGCAAGCTCTGTTCCACAAGCCTGATGATTATGCTCTCTGAAGAGAGTGCTTGATTTTGATTGATTCATCAGGCGGCTATGAGATCAAAAGCAGGTCACTATTCCTTATCTATCAACACATTGAAATTCTACCTTTAATAAACTAAGAAATGCTGTATCATTCTCAGAAGAATCCTATACCTTGTTTATGAATGAGTAAGTTCTCTTGTGTCCCATTGGATTTCCTCCCATGTAAATGTGAATAATAATAATAATAATAATAATAATAATAATTTATTATTTATACCCCGCCCATCTGGCTGGGCTTCCCCAGCCACTCTGGGCAGCTTCCCAAAAAATATTAAAATACAGTAATCCATCAAACATTAAAAGCTTCCCTAAACAGGGCTGCCTTTAGATGTCTTCTAAAAGTCTGGTAGTTGTTATTCTCTTTGACATCTGGTGGAAGGGTGTTCCACAGGGAAGGCGCCACTACCGAGAAGGCCCTCTGCTTGGTTCCCTCTAACCTCACTTCTCACAGGGAGGGAACCTTCAGAAAGCACTGGATCTCAGTGTCCGGGTAGAATGATGGGGGTGGAGACGCTCCTTCAGGTATACTGGGCTGAGGCCATTTAGGGCTTTAAATGTCAACACCAACACTTTGAATTGTGCTCAGGAATGTACTGGGAGCCAATGTAGGTCTTTCAAGACTGGTGTTCTGTGGTCTCGGCGGCCACTTCCAGTCACCAGTCTAGCTGCCGCATTCTGGATTAGTTGTCCAGTGTTGCGGCCTCATTTCTCCCCAAATTTGCTCTAGGTGGTAGCTCTAATTTTGCTCGGCGAATCATGTAGGCCATGAGATATTGACAAAGAAGAACACGAGCTGATAAGAGCACTGTGGGCTCAGAGGACTGCAGGCCAGGAAGTCAACGCAGCGAGGAATTCAGAGGTGAGTGAACTGACGTTAGATATTGACAGTTACAGGTATTGATATGAACTCACTACCCAGATCTTTTAGATACCAGCCTATGAGTATCTCTTAAGGTTGTGTCGCATTTCACTCTGGTATAGAAGATGTCTTTTGATATGGAATGTGAAGCGGAGGCATATAGGCTCAAATAATCTGTTGTGCCTCAGGCACAGAGTTCTTGCATGCAGTTTTGGTACATCTTGCTTCACTAGTGAGTGTCCCTGATGAAGCTGAGTCGAGGTACACATTTATATGAATGGTATTTAGTGTGGTAAGAAGCATATAGCCAATGGGGCATCGACCAAAATCTTCGAGAAACAAACTGCTAAGTAGTGAGGGGAGAGATTTCGTCAGGCAAGGCCTCTTTCCACTTGCCTTGCCCTACCCTCTAGTCTCTGCTTCTCAATTTGTATTTTATTATTTTATGCACTGTGGCTTGCCATTGTTTTATTGATTATAGTTTAGAAATTATTTATTGTAACTGTTTAGTGGATTTCTGTTAAATTTTTATATGTTATTATTATTTAATACTACTCTAATGATTGTTGAATGTTAGTTTTTGATGTAGGTTGCCTATTTAAAAGTTATGTTTTATTATCACATTTTTGTATTGCATTAGATTGTTATAAGATGTATGGTACATTTTTTGTTTCTTCAGCTTGTAAACTGCCTTGAGTATTGTAAGACAGAAAGACGGTATACAAATTAAAAATGATGATGATGGCATTTTGAATTTATATATTCCCCTTTTCCTCCTGTGTATTTGCCAAGTATCTTTTAGCACAGGGAAGATAACCTTTCCCCTTTTTCACACTGAGGTCCAGCTTTGAGGGCCGTCTGGCAGTTCCCTCACTGCAAGGTTACAGGGAACTTGGCAGAGGGCCTTCTCGGTAGTGGCACCCACCCTGTGGAACGCCCTCCCATCAGATGTCAAGGAAATAAACAACTATCTGACTTTTAGAAGACATCCGAAGGCAGCCCTGTAGAGGGAAGTTTTTAATGTTTGATATTTTATTGTGTTTTTAATATTCTGTTGGGAGCCATTCAGAGTGGATTGGGAAACCCAGTCAGATGGGCGGGGGTATAAATAAATTATTATTATTATTATCATTATTATTATTATTATCATTATCATTATCATTTTTATTGCTATGGGAACCAGACGCAAATGCTGGCAGAGCAACATGTGTGACTCTTACTTTTGTGTCATAGACTATGTGCCAGCCACATGAACTATATGCACACACAAACCACACATTTCTTCTTCTATCCAGGCATGCAAATGGCATCATTACAGTTTTCATAGAATCAAAGAATTGCAGAGATGGAAGGGACATGAAGGATCATCTAATCCAACCCCCTACAATGCAGGAATATGCAGATGCCCCTTACAGAGATTGAACCCACAACCTTGGCATTATTAGCACCACGCTTTAACCAACTGAGCTATCCAGAAGATTGTTAGACACCTTTGGACCAAAGCACAAGGCAAAGGCACAAGGGAGGCCTAGAGCCAGGTTGGTGCGGGTTGTGGCCTTGGAAGAGTTCCAGTGGTAAGACAGAGAGGTCCAGAGGGTCACATTTTAAAGGGACGTGGGTAGTGCTGTGGTCTAAACCACTGAGCCTCTTGGGCTTGCCTATCAGAAGGTTGGTGGTTTGAATCCTCGTGATGGGGTGAGCTCCTGTTGCTCTGTCCCAGTTCCTGCCAACCTAGCAGTTCGAAAGCACCTCAGAGCAAGTAGATAAATAGGTACCGTTGTGGCAGGAAAGTCAACAGTGTTCCGTGCACTCTGGTTTCCATCACGGTGTCCCATTGTGCCAGAAGCGGTTTAGTCATGCTGGCCACATGACCCGGAAAGCTGTCTGTGGACAAACACTGGCTCCTTTGGCCTGAAAGCAAGATGAGCGCCGCAACCCCATAGTCACTTTTGACTGGACTTAACCGTCTAGGGTTAAGCACAGCAGCACTCATGTTCTAGTGTTATGTATAACTGTGGATCAGCGGTTGTCCCAAAGCTTTCATTTATAGGTCCTTTCCCTCAAGTCTTTTACCTGCTGGCAAGTTGCAAGATGACACCTAGCAACAGCAGCCCAGGTTGATGAAATGGCTCATCACCCAGAACATTCTGCTTTTCGTAACTTAACAAACCATACCATGAAGGAAGTGAATGACATCTTAGTGAATCCTTTGGTAAAGTGGATTCTTCCCTCATCAGTGTTTGGTTTTCTAATCTTCCTGCTTCATCTGCCATAGCTCATAACTTCACCACCATTACCTCAGATACTGAGATGGACCAGTGGTGGCAAAGACAATGATGTTGTCACACTTGGTCTCTCCATGGGGTCCACAGATGTCTGAATGCATTCTAAGGCAGCTCTTGTAAGGGAAAGGGAAAAGGATGGAATGCCCTGTTGCAGACCCAGAGAGCTGTGTTGTTTGCCTTCAATGCCGGGCTGCGGACACAACTTTGCACATCTTCTAGAGAAAGCCTCTATTTACGATGAAAGATTTGTGACAGAATCAATGGATACGAGTACAAGAGACAGAAGTCTCTAAAAGATGATGTGCATTGATGATGGTTGACAGTGGGTTACTGAATATGATAGGAAGTCATTGTAGGAAGTCATTGTAGTGCCAGGGATGTCACTATTATTTCTACACAGGCTCATTCATCCCCTAGGCAAACAAACAAACAAACCCAGAAGGGAATTGAGGTGCCATCAAATTTTGCTACAAGCAAACTTCATCAGAGGCAGACCATTAGTCCTGAAATGGCAAAATTAACCGGGAAGCTCAGAAATCAAGAAGACAAGAGCTTTAAAAAAGAAAGGGGAACGTTTACAATTTATTTACAAGACCATTGTAAGCAGTTTAGAACATTAGCAGGATTTTAGCCACACTTGTAAATTAATGGAAAGTATGGACAATTTGGAAAGACAAAATGTGAACAGCACTGATATGCAGATGTAAATATTATCACTAGGACCCATGGGAGGGATGGAGGGAAGTCAGGAGATTCAGAGCAATCTTGATATTTGAACCTTGAATTGGTTTTTGTTGTATGTTTATTTTATTAAATTATTATTATTATTATTATTAAGCCCATTAGTTCACCTAGCTCCGTATTGCTATTGTTATTGGCCTTTATTAGCATAAGTTTAAACAATAAAATCATACAAAGTCATCCAAATACATTGACAATCCAAACACATACGACAATGGTACCTCGGGTTAAGTACTTAATTCGTTCCGGAGGTCCGTACTTAACCTGAAACGGTTCTTAACCTGAAGCACCACTTTAGCTAATGGGGCCTCCTGCTGCTGCAGCGCCGCTGGAGCACGATTTCTGTTCTCATCCTGAAGCAAAGTTCTTAACCCGAGGTACTATTCCTGGGTTAGCGGAGTCTGTAACCTGAAGCATATGTAACCTGAAGTGTATGTAACCCGAGGTACCACTGTATATATAAAAGACTAGAAGGCCACCATTGAATAAATCAGGCAACTTTAGATTTAGCTTTAAAGATCTCGGCTAAATACCCTGAAACAATCTTGGTAGTTTCGGGAGTATCATCCCTCAACAAATATTGGATTACAGACTCTTTGTAAATTGATATTTTAAGCCTCAGGACTTATCTTTATAACTTGACCCTGATTACTAAAATAATAACTGGACTCTGTTTGCTTTTATTGTGTCCAAGAAGAAGAAAGCCAATAATGTGTGGTTTTGAGAGTGTACCCCCAGAAATATAGAAATGGCTACAATCTGATAGACAACAATTATGTTAGCAGAAAGGAAGTGGGGGAAGTCACCTGAAATATCAGAGGCATTATGAAGGAAGCATATCTATTAAGTTATGCCCATATTCTGGATGCATCAGTAAGTCTCAAAGCCACTTGGTGTAGCAGGGTCAATTGCCTCTCAGTAGGTATCAACATGCCCTCACAATAGAACATATTTCAATTTTCACAGAATGTATTTCATTTCTCTGACAGAGAACAAAGGAGCACTTTCCTGAGGGAAAAACTGCAAAGGTAGAAACATTGTACTGAGCCAGCACAGCTGAGGTTCAGGAGCGCTCTTCAAACAACTTCACTAGGTCATATTTGTTTGTTCAGTTATCAAAGTCAAATCCGTTTATTGTGAGGACCATGCCTGTACACAAACATTAACACAACAATAGTTAAAAAATATTAAAATTCATTACATACTACGCCAACAAAACCTTCATCCCACAAAATAGAAAGAGAGGGAAAACGAGCAACGAGTTAAACAGACGATGAAGGGGTCTTTACATTGTCATCCATAAGTCTTTCCCTGGCTTTCATGGCCTTCATCACAAAAACCGCTACCACATGGGTAATACGTGGGTTTGCATCAACTAACAAAAATTTTACTCTATCTTCAGGATTGGTTATAGAGTTGGGTATAATTTGCAGCAATGCGTCTCTAAAGCCCGAGTAGATGGGGCAATAGAGGAGGTAATGTGTAAGATCCTCTTTAATTTTCATAAGGCAAGGGCATAAACGATGTTCTACTGGGGTTTTGTGAATCTACCGGTCAGATATGCAGTTGGCAGTGTTTGAAACCGTGCCATAGTGAAAGCTCTCCGAAGGGTGGGATCAGTGATCTCCACCAAGTAGTTGGCACAGATTTTGACTGCTTTTACTCGGGAAACCAGTAGGAAAACCCAGAGTTTTTATCTTTGTGGAGTCCAAAAGGCGTCTTTTCAAAGATCCATTCCCGAACTTTATCAGGGCTCCACAATTTAAGGGTATTAAACTCAGGTAGATTGTATCTGGATAGGATATCTAGTAGGTTTTTATGCCAAGTAGTATTATTTTGTAATGATACAAAGGCTTGTTTAGCCAATAAGGTGTTCGGGGCATCTGTGAGGTTGGTGAAAAAACGCAGGAATCTTAAGTGGGCCCTGGCAGACACAGAAGGTAATCCTACTTCCACTCTTAGGAGAGCTGCCGGAGTACTCTGAGGGAGGCCTAGAATTCTTCTGAGGTAAAAATTTTGGAAGATTTCAAGCCGTTCTAACAGCTTCTGATTCCATCCCCAGAGTTCTACTCCATATAGCATCTGGGGAATCACTTTTCCAACAAAAGCTTTTAATGCCGGGATCACCAGTTGCCCTCCCCTCGAATAAAAAAGCTGAGCAGAGCACCGATTGTCCTACGTGTTAGAAGGGCTACAGTCTTGAAGTGGGCAAGCCAGCTAGATGTAGCTTGGAAAGTGATACCAAGATATTTAAAAAAAAGACACTGTTCAATTTTGTGTTCATCTAAAGACCATCTAAATGTGTGGCGAGCTCTAGTAAATACCACAATTTTTGTTTTGTCATAATTTATCTTTAGAGAGTTTTGGGAACAATAAGCTGCGAGCCCCTCCAGCATGCTATGTAGGCCCCTTCGAGTAAGTGCCATGACAGCCATGTCATCAGCATATAGTAATATATTCAGGTGTTTGCCTTCCAGGGCAGGAGCTGATGACTTATACTTTGCCATATGTTGAACAATGTCATTTATATAGAAATTAAAGAGGAACGGCGCTAACAAACAGCCCTGTTTAACCCCTTTCCCCAGTGGCAGTGGGTCAGTATAGTTGCCTGACATCCCAGTTCTGATTTTAACTGTGGTGTCTGAATGTAACTCTCTAAGTATTTTGAGAAGTCGTCTATCAATATCTGTTTCATATAATTTTTGCCATAATTTGTCCCTACAGATTGAATCAAAAGCGGATGTGAGATCTACAAAAGCCACAAAAAGTTTGCTCTTATGTACCTTTGTATACTTATCTATCATTGTCTGTAGTACCAAACAATGGCCTGTTGTACTATGGCCCTTTCTAAACCCTGCCTGTTCCGGATTAAGCAGGTTAGAGTGGTCAGCCCAGTCAACCAGTTTATTTAGCAGGTAGCGAGTGTAAAGTTTATACACAATGTCCAGGAGACTTATGGGGCGATAGTTTGAGGGGTCTTGGGGTCTCCTTCTTATAGATGGGGGCTACCAGGCTCAGTTTCCAGTTTTCTGGGATTTTGCATATATCATTTATTACCGTAAAAGTTGGGCCAAAATAGCAGCCCACCACTGGGCATTTAGTTTAAACACCTCAGGAGGAATCATATCCTCACCGGGAGCTTTGCCATTCTTGAGTGTTTTAATTAGCTGTAAACATTCTGATTCGGTAACAGGATCCCAGCCCATTAATAGATCGTTTTTAAGAGGAGGAAACTGGCTCGGTTTAGCAATGTTTGGAGCTGTATATAGCCGGGAAAAATGTTGGTACCATAAGTTAGATGAAATACTGTTGGTTACAATTTTCCCTTTGGGTGAAACTCCCTGGGCAATTATTTCCCAGAACTTTTTGTCATCCCGCAATTTGATCGCTTTGTCAAGTGCCTCCCATTGTTCCTTTCTGTAGAGGGATTTCTTAAATTTTAGAGTATTTTTATAATGAGAACGCCACCTGTGCAGGTTTTCCAATGAGGACAGGGTCCCTTCCTGTTTTACCTTATTTTGTAATTTCCTAAGCAAAGATCTTAGATTCCTACAGTCTTTGTCGAACCAGGCCCTCGAGTTGTTTTGTTTTTTGGGAGGGTTGGAATTCGTGAGTAGTGGGAAGAGCGACTCTGAGACCTGCTGAAATGTTGAAAAGGGGTCAGAAATAGATGAGATACACTGGTCTCTCAAGGCCAGTAAGTCTGATGAATGCAGGTGTAATTTGATTTTAGATTCCAGGTCGCTGTTCCATTTACGCCTACGAAGGGCCAGAGTTGGAGGTGGGTCTGCACAGTGATTGCGGTATTGCGGATCCTCCACACCACGGGGAATTAGTGAAATTGATATAGGAAGATGATCACTCTCAATTCTATTGAAAGTCCTGAAGCCCTGTGACCTCTCCAAGAGTTTTGGGGGACCAGGATATAATCAATAACGCTCGCACCTCTAGGTCCAAGAAAAGAAAAGAAACCCCCTGACCTGTCCATATGGGTACCATGCAAATTATACAAATTATGTTTGAAGGCAGTCTCCATTAATGTAATGCCTGCCTTATTCAAGACCTTATCGTCTGAGGACCAGGGAATAAACCAATCTGCCTCTGGCAGGAACTGAGATTTAGAGCAGTACGTATTAATGTCATTTCCTATCCTGGCGTTGAAATCACCTGCCAGCAGGATATCCATGCCAGGGAGTTCTAGTTCAGCCTTCTCCAAACATAGCTCTAAATCTTCCCAGAATTGTGACGACTGGGGAGGGGTGCCTATGGGAGGGATATATATATTAAAGCAAAGGAAATCTCCTCCTTCACTGCTAGAAATAAGTAAGATTTGTAAATTGTTACTCTTCACCCACTGCTGTTGCCGGACCTTGCATTTTAGCTTGGTAGAAACAAAAGTGACTAAACCACCACTAGGTCGGCCTCGGGATTTTGGTTTTATCGCAGGGGTAGCAAAGGCTTCGTATCCCTGTAAAGAGGGGACATGGAGATCTAGACACCATGTCTCCTGTAGACATAAAATCTGAAATTTTGTAAGGAAATCCAGAAGGTCGACGTCACCCTGCTTAGATAACCATCCCGCCACATTCCAGGATAGAATGTGGAAATAGGGTGATGGTGGAAATAGTGGCAGTCAATCTCTTTTCCGATGGTTTGAGGCTCCTGAGCTGGGCTCCTCCTCTATCTGCCCTGCTTGGTGGTTCCGGGTTTGAGGTCGCTGGTCCCTAGATAGGTGTGATAGCTTTAACTGGGGGGCCAATAGGTTGATTTGGCCCAGAGGATCTTCGATGACACCGTTACAAATATCATGTTGTTCAGCTGATGTATCATGATGTTCAGCTGGTTTTCGCAGAGCAAGGATTTTGCCGACCCGTATAGGCTGTATAGGTAGCAGGTCGACAACTGCATCTTGCGTCGGTACTGCTAGCGGGTCAAAATTTGACAAAAGCTGTGGATCTTGATTGCGTATTGGGCTTAGAATAATGG